AAACTTTACATTTTACAGAAAATAGTATCTTTATTTTGATTTGAAATAAACTTCAGCAAAACACCCTAACCCCCCCCCAAAAAAACTTCAGCTCTCAAACTCAGCTGATAGTGTGCTATTATATACAGCAAGTTGAGAGTTGGTATAATGTCCTTAAGCAGAGATGAATAATCTCACCTAATAGGGAAGGGTTACAGCTTTTCTGTAGCCAATTCCAGACAAGTTTAGACTATTACCCTTATTGTTCTTGAAGAGCCACAAAACAGGCTCTTCGGGAGGGCATCTGGGGACAGACAATCATAATATCCTGAACAGGTTGGTTTTAATTGGCTGTTACTTAGTTATTAGGAAGTTGTGTATTACTCAGAGTCAGTTGGCTGGAGCAGAATATAAATCTAAATATATAAATACCAGTAGTCCTTGACTTACCACCACAACCGAACCTAACATTTCTGTTAATAAGTAGACAGTTAAGTGAATTTTGCCCCATTTTACCACCTTCCTTGCTACAGTTGTTAAGTGAATCACTGCAGCTGTTAAGTTAGTAACACAGCTGTTAAAGAAATTTGGCCTCCCTATTGACTTTGCTTGTCAAAAGGAGGCAAAAAGCAATCACATGACCCTGGGACACTGCAACCATCCTAAATGAGTCAGTTGCCGAGCAACTGAATTGTGAACATGTGACCATGGGCATACTGCAACAGCTGTAAGTATGAAAAAAAAGTCACATTTTCAGTGCCATTGTAACTCTCAAACAGCCCACTGAATGAACTGTTGTAAGCTGAGGATTATCTGTACGTGCATGTGAAAAAATCCCTAAAACCTCAGGAGTATCCCTTCAATTCCTCTACCTAAGCTTTTTATAAATGCTGAACAATAATGAAAACTGAGCCAAAACCCTATGACCCATTTGCCATTTGGGCTAAAGGTTATTAATTAGTTCTTAACAGCAGCATTAACACTTAACAGCAGTATTAATTCACCAACAAGATCAAACTCTATTATGCAATCACCGATTTGGCTTGCTTATCATCCTACATGTGCCTTAAATGCAATCTGGACCTTCTCCCCCAACACCCGGTCAACCTTACTACCTGTGGCTCTAATCTGCATTCTTTAGCAATCAAAGTCAAATGGGAGGTAAGTATACAATGCTGTGGTATTTTGTCTTTGACACCCAGGCAAATGGGGAGAGAAAGGGACCGTCAAGCAGCTGGTCTTTTGGGTTGCCAGGTTGCCGGCAGGCATTTGAGAAGGGTATAACTTGAAATAGACACGAGGAAGCCGAATGGAAGGATAAGACTGGGTTCCCCTACATGTGATAGGCTACAATACAAAGCATTTTATATTTTTTAAAAAAGTGTGAAATCTTGGGATGACTTATGTCATGTTAGTTCTTAGGCTCTCTCTCCCAAATTCTCATCAAGCAACTGTTTCATAATTCCCTTGTAGAACGGTGCTTGGTAACCACAGCCCTCTGATTAATTAGCAGATCCTTTTCTTCCTCACCTCCTGAAGAGGAGGATGCCTGCCTTCTTTCAGCCTGAGGGCGCTTCATTTCTGCTCCTTTGCTAGTGAACCACTTTTATGTGGACAGGGGTTTCTTAGCTTGTACCTGAATGACCCAAGGCTATTACTTGCAATGGAGCTAATTCCTTTTGTCCGACTCTGTCAAGAGCAGGGGGAAACGAACCCAGTGTTATTTCCTTCCACTCTGCTTTCAGCTCACTATGACTAATGCAGCTTTGCCTTAATTGGCAAAGGGAAGGCAATCCAATGACTCAGACACCACTATAAACAGTCCTGACTCTTTCTAAAGTAAAAGTACCATGGCACCACAAATGACTCAATCAGTTCCTAAGAATTATTGCTTATAGCGATGAAGCCACGTTAATTAGATAATGGCTGGCTGCCAACTAATATTGGCACGACCTACTATATCCTTGGCTCACAGCCATGCATGTCTTTCTATCACATTTTTCCCTCTCTGGTAATCTAGATGGGAAGTGGGAAATATTCCCAACTGCTACTTAAATTCTTATCATGAATGAAAAGATTAATTAGAATGTCTTGTCAAAAGGAATGGGTTCTACACGTAAATAAAGAAAAATTCAAAGGGACAGAGATCAAACCAAGACTATAATTTTAATCTCTTTCTTAGACAGAAAGATTTGAATTTAACACGGTCCAATTTCAACACGCAGTTAGAAAAAGATTCCTCCTTTTCCATGTGCACAAGGCTGTTGTAAAAATCATGAATCCACTTTTTTAAGGAGAAGGAAATAGACCAAGATACATACCATGTATTTTTAATATACAAGATTAGGGTTTTATAAGAGACGGAGATTGCAATCTTATCCACCACGTAACTCCCACAGAATTAAATAGGACTCTATATATGCCATTTTATATGCCTGAGTCCACATCCAACTCGCAAGACTAGTATAAAATATTAATTTATTGCAAGTCCTTAAGGATTAATGCATTTAATATTTCTTATCAATTTTGTATTACAATAATCTTATGACCTTCAGTTTTATTCTGCAGCTAAGACAATAAATCTTGTCAAGAAATGGCAAGGAGTTGAATCTGATTGAGATCATCTTTATCAACTTGAAGGAGACATGACTTTGCCAGTAATGATACTTCTGATGATCACTTTATGATTTGTTTAAGGTGACAATTCATATCTGAACAGGGAAATGAAAAGGTACAAATCTCACTAATCCAGTTTCATTGGCTAAGATTGAAAGGAGTTCGGGTCCTATTTTGAAGTCACCAAAAAATTAAAAGAGCTTCCTAGCCATAATCATCATAAATGCCAAGTAACAGAAGAATTATTAGCCGAATAAGGAAAAAGCAGAGATAAATTAAAAAAATTAAAAAGACCAAAACAATCTACACATACTCCAGACCCAATTCTGGAAGCCTTTGCTGAATGCCTTCTCCTTTTTTCTACATCTTCTAGAGCAGGGATCCCCAATCCCCGGTCTATGGATCGGCACTGGGCTGTGGCATGCTGGAAATCAGTCTGCACAAACAAGCAAAGCCCCATTTGTGGGGTACAGACAGTACATGAAACCAGACCTCCTCTGGTCCGTAGAAAAACCTCTCTCCACAGAACCGGTCCCTGGTGCCCAAAAGGTTGGGAATCTCTGTTCTAGAGAGAAATTCCTATACCACTGGTGGCGAACCTATGGCACACGTGCCAGAGGCGGCACTCAGAGCCCTCTCTGTGGGCACATGTGCCGTGCCCTGGAAATGGCGCGGGACTGGCCCCCGCTGACCTGGCCCTGCCCACCCAGTCTGCCATGACTACTGTGGCCATGCCCACCCAGCACCCGGTGATAAATAAGTGGGTTTTGGGTTGCAATTTGGGCACTGGGTCTCTAAAAGGTTTGCTATCACTGGCCTATACTTTCACTGATAGCAAGTATAGACTGTTTACAATCTTCTTATTCCAAGTCATATTGCCAAAATTCAGAAGATGTCATTATGGAAACTAGAGTGGGGATATTTCGCCCGTTTTGGTGTGACAAAACACGTTCAACTTTGATTCCAGTATTAGAGAGGATCTTTTTGACTTTGGGCAAAGAAGTGATGGTTTCTTTGACCCCATAGTAACATAATAGTTATTGCAGGGAGATAATTTAGTCAGAGGCAGGATGCACAACTAGAAAAACTACCAAATACTATGGCAAATACACGAATGAGGGTAGAAAGGAGTTATGGTGGGAGAATCTTCAGCAGGTTTTGGTGGGAAAAAATCCTGCTGTATTTCCAGACCTTTGGTATAAACTGACTATCCTGATACAAATTGCATAATATATTTTCTTTCCACATAAAGCATAATTCTTGGATAAAAATCAAATGCATAATAGTAAATTTACATCATTTACATATATGGTGACATAAAAATCAGATACCAATGCATTTCATGACATAAAATATTTTTAATTTAATTGAGGGTTTGATAACATGCTGATCTTTAGTGTGCCTGGCTTATTTAATTATTGAATCTGTCAACACATCAAGCCTATTGGGAGGCATATAAAACATACCTTACATTATGTGCATTTCAAGCAAAGAAGCTTAAGCAAGCATTCTTTCTAACATTTTCAAGCAGTATTACAATTACATATAGCCAAGCAAAAGTGTCCCAGTGACCCTCTCTTAACTTGACAAACCTGGGCTTGTAAACTCTTTTCCTTGACAGAGAACTGAACTTGGAAAAAGATTTGCTGAGTGCAGTGTTCTCTTTGATGTTTTGCATTAAATGTTTCCCCTTTCCCCTAATTCCTCTTGCCCCATCTGCAAAGGTAACTTTTCAAGGTAGAATTTACAAAGCACTGGGCAATTTCATCAGCACCATAGCCAAAAGCCTAAAATCTTAGCAAGTCACCTCTTTTCTTTAGCAATGCACTCAGTTACAAAAATAATAATAATAATAAAATACCCAAGGAATCCCAGCACTTTGCTAGGGTAAAAATGGAGCCTCACAGAGGTCTTTCAAAGGAAAACTGAACTAGTGAAGCAGAATTAATCATCCTGCTTCTGATTTAGCTTTGAGATGCTTTCTTCCCTAAAGCGCATAGCAATTTGGTTCAGGGTGGTCATGTTTTTACATGTTCTTTTTAAAGCACTGGACGAAGGATTCACTCTGTCCATTGTGCTGCTTGGACCTCTTCCTGCTGCTTTCCCCTCTTCCTTCCTTCTCGTTTGATGTTTCTTTTGCTCCCGGCAGGCTGTTTCCTTTGCTTTTGCTCTCTAACCCTGCAGACCCGAGCATCACATCCTACTCTCCTTCTCAGGATTAAAACACCCTCCAGCAGAGTCTGATTTGAGCAACATGCAGAGCTTTGGGAATTATATTTAAAAACCTTCAGGTTTATCTCACTCCTAAGCAGTGGGGCACAAAAGAGAGGAGCTTGTTTTCTCTCCTAGCTGCCATGTTGGAAAGGCTGCTTTTAAAGTGACTGATGAACAATGGCATACTATACCTCTTCTGGCAGACTGACAACCAGGTCATTTTCCGTCTGCCCGACTAACACCTGCAAGAAGTATTCGCTGCATGCAGCCAGCACAGCCCGGTGGGCTCGGAATTCTTTGCCCTCCACAATCAAAGTCACGTCACAGAGAATATCCTGCTTCCGTTGGTCATTGAGGCATAGGAGGATATTGGTACAATGGACTGTTGACTCATACACATACATGGGGGATTCAGTCTTCTCATCCACAGACATACCGTTCACACCCTAAAAATAGAAGCAACAAACAATAAGGGAGAGATAGAGGGCCAAAGTGAGTTATTACAGTGCTTGCAAAAAAAAAAAAAAGGAAGATTACATCATGATTTCTGCACCCTGCATAGTTGAGCCAGTTCTCTGCAGAACTGCTGATCAGCATTTTAATTCTTAGCTACAACAAAGAATTCAAGAAATCTCTTCTCTCTGAAAAGACAATTGCATTATAAGCTTTTTACTCAACCCACTTATTTGGCTTTTTCTTCTCCACAATGCTGAATGAGAGAGATGGATTTTAAGAAATGTTGAAGGCTATTATTAAACACTGTTTTAATAGTATAAGCTGCCTGGAGAAAAAGGGGATGGGATAGAATATCTGAGACAATCTTTGTAAATCAGAGTATTCAACCTATCGTTTTTAGGTATTTTAGAATTACTGGCGCTTAGTGGCATTACAGGGAAGGTGTGGTTGAAATTCTCAATAGGTCTCCAATTTCAAGGGCAAGTTGGTTGTAGATTTTTACATGCAAAACACATATTCCACCCTTTTAAAATGACACATGAGCAGCTCAGATCTTACTAAACTGATTTAGATATTATGATAGCAGAATTATAACTATACCGAAAACCTAAAATAGAACTTGCAAAGATTATGTTATCTTATATAAAATCTGAACAGTAAAGCTGCAATTACTCAGCGAGGCTAATGGAGGAGGCTGAGGGTTAGTGGTTTGCCTAACTACATCTTGAGAGTTTGTAGGAGAGGAAACTTGAATTAAGAACTTCCTGGCCCAGAGCAAATGCATTTAGAAACACATACTTACATGGAAATAGGTATCCCTGGAATTCTATGATATCTAGGCTGAGGTAGACCTGAAATGTACTTCTAAATGCAGAACTTTAATAGAAATAAATACAGATAGTCCTCAAATTATGGCCACAATTGAGCCCAGAATTTGTGTTGCTAAGTGAGAAGTTTGTTTTGCCCCATTTTACGTCTTTTCTTGCTACATTTGTTAAGGGAATCACTGCAATTGTTAGATTAGTAACATGGTTGTTAAGTGAAACTGGCTCCCCCATTGACTTCGCTTGTCAGAAGGTCACAAAAAGGGATCACATGATCCTAGGACCGTGATGGCGAACCTTTTAGATACCAAGTGCCCAAAAACCACTCTGCCTGCCCCTGTTCCGCCCCCTGCAGGGCCACCTACTGCCTCCACAGCCTGCTGCAGATCGCCCAGGCAACGCCATGGTGGCCATACCATCCGCCTGCGCCCTGCAACATCATCTGCGCGTGACGGGGCGTGAGGGCAAAATCTTATCCCTGCTGCCCGGCTACCATGTCCTAGGCTGCACTGCTCCATGCAGGTCGTGCACGGGGGCGACTCCTCCAGGGGGGCTGCTGGTGAGGAGGGGGCTGCGGGGGGAGGTGGGGCTGGGGCGACGACACGCATGCCCACAGAGAGGGCTCTGTGTGCCGCCTCTGGCACGTGTGCCATAGGTTCACCACCACTGTCCTAGGACATAAATATGAACCAGCTGTCAAGCATCCGAATGTAAACCGCATGACTATGAGGATGCTGCAATGGTCATAAGTGTGAAAAATGGTCATAAGTCACTTTTTTCAGTGCTGTTGTAACTTCGAACGGTCACTAAATGACACTGTTGTAAGTCGAGGACTACCTGTACTTCAATAGAAATAAATACCAGTCACTGGATATAAACTTATAAGCAATCCTGTGATACTGACAAGAGAACAAAATAATGGGAGGCAGATCTTAAGAAGGAGACTGTAGTGTGGCAAAATACATAACATTTAAAAGCTTTACAAAAGAAATATAGCATGAGAATTATTCAAGAACATGTATCAGGAAACACCTGATTTTTTAAACAGGCATCTGCCCAGGGAGTGAATAAATGTGTATTGCAATGCCATGATACAATCTCCACCCTTTTAATACTTGCAGTTGTGACACTGCAGGGACACACGTGAGAACTAGAGCTTTTATCACATCACTTCGTACAATGAAATCTCAGTTTGCTGTGGACACCTGTGAAGTCTTGACTGTATTACTGCATTTCGTCTATACAAAATAATATAAAAAGGCTAGATGATTTTCCTCAAAGAAACATTAGGTAGATAAATGGAACAGACCATTTATTATTTGGAGAGGTCTTTATGAAACTGAAAGCAACTAATTGAAACTTAGGGAAACTACCTTTCTCTTAAATTAAAATATATATATTTATTGAACATAGCCTGGAAAAATTAGGCTTATTAGTATTAAAATAGATCCTATTTTTAAAACTGGAGTAAAACTATTAAAAACTATTGCATCATCCTTGTGACTGCACCCTGGCAAAATGACTGAAAATGATTGATACAAGAAAGTTTCCCTATTTGCAAGATGATTACCATAAAAGGCATAATCAGTTACAAATATTGCCTTAACAAAATGCAACTGACACCTCTTCTAATTGTCCTTCTTCCTTCAAAATAAAATCCATACTTCCTGCTTAGTTTTGTCTGTTTCTTGGGAAATTGGCCCGGAAAACATCAGGCTGCTATTATTCATCATTTTTATTTTCAAAGAAATAATTTTAGGGCAAAAGCCATTCATGGAAGTAAAGGTAATGCTGGAAGACTAGCAACATGGGGGGGGGGGAGGAGGAGGAAGAAGAGGCGGCTTGGATAAAGAAGTGCAGACAATGCTTTTCAAATTTGCAGATGATATTAAACTGGGTGGATAGCTAACAAAACAGAAAATAACATTCAAAACTATCTTATTAGGTTAGAAAAATGAACTGAAAGTATCTGAATGAAACTTACCGGTAGCTAAAGACAGACAGACACTTGTGAAACGAAAGACAAATGTGTGTAACAGGGAATTGGCTTGGTAATAACAAGGTCCTCTATTGTAGTTGATTGCAAATTAAATGTGAAATAACCAAGTGATAATTTCAGGTCTCAATCAACAGAGGTGTAATTTCCAAATCTGGGGAGGGGGGGAGAGACTCCACGATAGTTCCACTTTATTCTAGTTTGGTCAAACTCCATGCTGCGAATTGCATTCAGCAATTGGCATGGTTTCAGAGAAAATAATAGGAGATTTAGGGACTAGAACAGTGGTGGCGAACCTATGGCACGGGTGCCAGAGGCGGCACTCAGAACCCTCTCTGTGGGCACGCACACCGTTGCCCCAGTACTAGGCCTTCAGCTGGGTTTTATAAAACCTTTTCACTTTAGGCCTCTGCTGCCGTGTGCAAAAAAAAAAAAAAAAAGTTCAATTTCAACTTCTTCCGGGAAAAAAAAGATCTTGCAAAGTTGGAATTGATTGATTGAACTTTTTAGTCCTACCCAGTCTGCCGTTACCATCGCAGCCACACCCACCCAATGGGCCACACCCAGCCAATGGCCACATCCACCCAGCACCCGATGATGCATAAGTGGGTTTTGAGTTGCAGTTTGGGCACTCGGTCTCTAAAAGGATCGCCATCACTGGACTAGAACTTGGGTCCTATGAAGATGGAGTGGGATTTTAGCCTTGAGATGGGGAATATCAGGGGTCTTCAACCTTGGCAACTTTAAGACTTGTGGACTACAACTCCTAGCCAACTTTGCTGGCTGAGGAATTCTGGGAGTTGTAGTCCACAAGTCTTAAAGTTGCCAAGGTTGAGGACCCCTGGGGAATATGACAGCAGTTTGTAAACATCTGAAACAGCTCATTTTCTTTAAGTCCTCTTTGTTCCTAAGATAGGAAGATAGGATAAAGATGAATGGATTTTAGTTATGGAAAGGCTGATTCTGACGTAGGGTAGCTCCCCAAAATAAGAGGAGTATGAGAATGAATCCGTTTAGAAGAGAGAAAGTATATTTAGATATACTCAAGAGGAGAATAGGCTGCCATTCCTGCACAGGTCAAATGGTTGGATTAAGTGGCTTAAATGACTTCTTCCAGCCCACTGATTCTATGATATCAATAGGAAGACAACTTAAATGCATCATTTGGATTTATTCATGCTTTTCAAGCCATGTAAAATTAGCTATATAACTAAAACGCGTAACTGAAAAAAGGCAATAAAAGTTGTCAGGATAAAGACCAAAAAAGGAAAATGCTCTTAAAAAAAAGCATTAATAAGATGTGACATCATTTTATAACCAACAGACTGGAAACTTAGTTAAGGAAAAGTTTTTTCTTCTTTTCTTGAAAGTAAATAGTATGAAACAGAATATGTAATTGTCACAGCAGCAAAGATTTCTATTCCTCGAGTCATTTTCTAACCCCCTATCTAATTTCACCTCTTGCTAAGAAGTGTTATTGTGGCTGCTTCCAAAATATCCAGAGGATTCAAACTGGGAATGTTTCAGAGCGACAATGAGGGCTTTCCAGAAAGCAGCACTTTGAACAAAAGACACGTCCACATTTCCGGCTGTCACCAAGATTGAAACTCTAATATCAGGCAACATCATAGTGAGGCTGCCCTAAGAACTTTTAAGTTCAACCAGAAAAGAGAAATCTACCACCCTCTGTGCTAATGACAGTGGCTTCCGGGTAGGTAAGAGGAAACAGCAACCACATATAAATGTTTGATTAGTAATGCAAGCCAAAATCCATGGATAAAAGGGATTGTGGGAAATTAAAATGCAGCCTCCCTTCCCATGGGAAGGCATAAGCAAAGGAATATGCTGAAACATTGACAAGCAGGCTGAGAAGGTCAAGTGCTAACATTGCCTGAACCGGAGCACCTATCAGAATGCATTAGCTAGCAGGACCTTTGGTTTGAAGTCCCAGCAGATGTCAGTACCAGGCTGACTTTGTCTATATCAAAAAAGCTCTTCAAGGTTAGGTCTGGTTAGTGGTTGGATGGAGGAACCCAGGAAACCCTGGTCTGTCACGAAACATCCCAGAAGACAGCTGAGGTAAATTACTTCTGTACCTTCCATGAAACTAGCCAGGTAGTTGGCAGGAGTATTTGAGAGACTCATTCACTTCAATTACACATCTGGCACA